AGCCCGCCTCCAAAGAGGGCAAGGTTGTTCAAAAGAGAAAGAAAAAAAAGACGAAGCCCGCCTCCAAATAGGGCAAGGTGGTTCAAAAGAGAAAGAAAAAAAGACGAAACTCGCCTCCAAAGAGGGCAAGGTGGTTCAAAAGAGAAAAAAGACCTTTATCGTCTCTATTCAAAAAAAAAATTAAAAGCCTTTGGTCCTCTTTACTTTTCATTATAAGATCGGTCCTTTACCATCTCATTAGCTCCATGGTTTGGTTATATATACATACGTGTATATGTTGTATACGTTAATAGCAATATGTAATATAAAGTTCAAGTTTATCCGAAACATGCGTGTCATTGATTTTGTTACGGTGATAAAATATAAGTTACTGATGTCATTCTCATTTGAATGACCACCACCACTAATATATTCTGGTAACTACCACTTTTGTTTGTGGATAGTACCTTCATATTGTATGTTGGAAAAAGTCATGTACGCTATTGGATATATCAACGTATTTTACACTTACCTCCGTTTTTTATTACTTGACACATATTCCTTTTTAGGAGGGTTTTTTCATTATTTTAATTTATTTGACACGTTTCCTTTTTAAGAGGTTTTTTTTACCTTGCTTTTTAAGTGTACCCAACTTGCTTTATCATTCTCTCTCACTCTCTCTCCCCTCCTTAATATGTGTGCCTAAATTGAACGTGTCAACTAAATAGAAACGGAGGAAGTATATTCCCCTGGCCAACCCACCTCATCACATTGACCGATTTTCTATACTCGACGGAGAGGGAAACAGATGAATTACGGGCTTAAACCAATCATAAACCGAATTATAGAGAAGTAAATGAAGTTAACGGGCTGAGAGTGGGGTAGAGTTGAGAAATACGCAATATTCATATTAAACAAAAAGCAAAAAATATATATATAAAAAAAAATACTCCACTCCTTAGCTCACCCCGGCCCCTCTCTAATTCACCAGTAACTAGTCGGTATTGTATTCAAATGTTACGAACATATCAAAAATCTGGATAGAAATATTTTTCATGAATTGGAAAATTTGTTAGTGTGAATATGTTAATTAAGAGGCATTGACCACTGTTTGTAACTTTGAAATATATTAGTTTAGATTCTTGTCATGAATTGAGATTTTTTTCAAAAATCTACATCAAAAATCTAGAGAGGAGTATTTGTTATGAATAGGAGAATTTGTTAATGTAAATATGTTGAGTATTAACTTTTTATAATTCTTGTTTGTTGATTATTGTAAGATATGGATGTTATTTTTTAAAAATCATGTCATACAATCAGTTTATATTTAGTAATTTGTTGTTGTCAATACATGATTTTGTGGTATCTTATTTGGGGTTCTATGTCATTCTTAGTTGTCAATTTGAATTCGCGGTGAAAATTGTGTTATTTGTTTTAAGCCACGTGTATATGGTTTAAGAATGTGGATAATAGCTTCCTTCAAAAAAAAAAGAATGTGGATAATAGCTAAGAATGTGGTAACTTGGTTCTTATATCTTTAGCTGTTATTATTATGTGTACATGAGTTCATATTTGTATTGGACACTTTTTGGATCACTTGGTCTTGACATCTTTAGTTATTATCGATTGTTAAGTGTAATCAGTCTAATTGTCTTTTTTTTCTCAAAATAGAAAATATTTAAAAATGAAAAGAAATAGGAATATTTGTAATTGTGTGATGGTAAGTTGGGCCGAAAAATATATGGAGGCTCAATTTGGAAAAGCGCAATTCCGAAAAATTTTAATAGCAATCCTTAAACAGATTCATGTGGCTTAGCATATTATATGCTTTCGTCACTTTGGTGGGTATTATAGCTTTTGAAGGGAATTGAATCGTTTTTTGTTCTTTAGTGTCGTATATTTGTTAGTGTGCTTTCCTGGTTGCCGTAGCAGGTGTATATATTTTAATCAATTCTAGGTTAAGAATGGGTAACTATGAAGAACTTGATGCTGCTGTTGCAAAATATGAGAAGTTTTGCGCTGTGCATAGCTATATCATGGATGTAATTATGGGTGGAGCACGAATGTTAAAGGCAGAGGTTGATGAAGGGACCACTAAGGTAAAGTTGATCCTCAAAAATGCAGCACAAGATTTCGAAGAAGCTATTGCACAGGTGTCTGTTGTGATACCAATAGGTTTCTCGATCATGTAGAGAAAACAACTGCGGAAGGGTCCCTTCAACTTCAACATTTGAAAGAGTATAAAGTGAAGGCGAAGAAAGAACTGGACGAGATCTTGAAAAAGTAACAGAAAAGGGCTAGAGAAATATGTTGTTTGGAATTTAAATTTAATGATTGGAGTACAAAAGCAGCTTATTAGTACATGTTAGTAGTTGTTTAGTAATTTTGTACATGGTTGTAGAATTATTTCTATACATAAGAATGATTTTGATTTGACCTACAAGTCATATTTGAAAGGAAGAATTATGAAGCTATCATGTAACCAAACAGTAGATTCAATTTATTTATGGGGATTGTGAAATTTGTGATAGTCAAATTTGTGATTATATTTAGAAAAGTATATCAAAAATCAATATTAGTTTGTAACTTGTTTCCAAAATCTAATAAGCAAAGTATAGTTATGTATACACAGTCTGAGGCATAAGCCTAATGTTTAGTATAGTTTACATGGTCTAAGTTATAATTTAGGTTCACTTAAGCCTATTTTTATTGCAAATTAGTTTGTTGAATGTTAAAGTCAAACATTAATGTGAAAGTTTTAATTATTATTAAGTGTTGTTTGACTAAGTGTAGAATTAGTAACTTGAGTTGAATTCTTGCTTATAAATTCACTGACATTGGTAATCTTATGAGCCATGACTTATGTATAGTACACGTAAATGTTCGCAATTATTACGTGTCACATGCCCCTACTACATAAGTATACATGTTGCGTGCAGCGTTGTGTGTGTGTGTAGTGCATTGACCTATACACATACATGTATATGTTGTATACGTTAATAGTGATATAATATATATATATATATATATATATATATATATATATATATATGGGATCATGTGAGAACCTATGTCTAAAATAGGAACTATGAACTCATCTGTACCGTTGATCGCGCTTAATCCAATGGTCCTTGCTTCACCCTCTCTTCCTTTCATTTTCTCTCTCTACGCATCCTCATTTTCCCTCTCTAACTTCGAGCTCTCCGCCGCGATCTGAGTTCTTCATTTTACCGAATTCTTTGCCCAGATTTTTCGATTTTGTTCTTCAATTACATTATATTCTTCGATTATTTTCATTCATTGAGGTAATTTTCTTATTATATTTGTTTTTTCTCAATTATTTTGATTTCATTGTTTATCTTGAGCTGAGTTTTTCAATTTAGGGTTTTTTATTGTAATTTTCTAAATTTTTACTTTTTTTTTGTTCTTTGAATTATTCTATAAAATTTAGTGTTTGATTTTTGGTTTTTAATCCTATTTTATGGTTTTACACTTACGGATTCAATGTAGTTGTTTTCTGCATATAGTTGCTATATTGCATGCTGTTATTAATCTAGTAGTATAATTTGTTGTTGTTTTAAATTTACTTTTTGCATTTAGTCATTAAGTTTTCATGATTAGTTTTACTTAATTCTTATAACTTCATGTTTTTTAGTTTCTTCAAGTTTTTTAATTTTTTTTTTATTTACTTTATGCTTTGAGTGATCTACTTTTTAGTATATCTTTAATAGTTTTTATTAGTATATTTTTTAAAAATATTGTTTCCTTTTAGTTATAGTTTATTTACTTTTAATTATTGTTTATTTACTTTTTACTTTTATTCATTTACTTTTCAGGAATATGTCTGAAAGCGTAGAGCTTATTTTTAAAAAATACTGTTTACTTTTAGTTATAGTTTATTTACTTTTATTTATTGTTTATTTACTTTTTTCTTCTATTCATTTATTTTTTCAGGAACATGTCTGAAAGTGTAGAGCATTGTTCTTCTTCTGTCACTACTAAAGATAGCAATGTAAGAATTTTCAAAACACCCACTCAGCCTTTGCTTCTTAAAATATATTATAATTCTAGAGGTGATAAAGAGTATATGCCATGTTGTTCTTCTGAAAACAAACCTTTTCTTGGTATGATATTTGATTCTCTTCAAGATAGTATTGCCTTTTATTACAAATATGCTAATGAGTGTGGATTTAAAGTCTGTTCTAATACTACTAAATCACAAAAGAATAAGGATGATCCTACTGGTAAAGGAGTTACTTTAATGAAATATTTATTATGTAGCAAAGAAGGGTATGTGACAAATAACAAGAAATCTGGTAAACAAGTTGAAGGTGCTTGTTTAAAGAGAAAGACTGTGAAGAGAGTTGGTTGTCCTGCTAAGATAAAATTTAGGTTTTGTAATGATGGGAAGTATATGGTGTATTGTTTTTATGAATCTCATTCTCGTCCTTTTTCTACACCTATTACTAGGCAGGTTACTAAACATGAAGTTGGTTTAAATTTTGCTTATAAGAAGTAAATTTTTGACAATTCAAAGTTAAATAAAGGGGTTGTTATGTCTTATAGAATCATGAAAGAACTTTGTGGTGGGTTTCAAAATGTCAGGGGCAGTAAAAATGATTTCAAAAATTTTTCAAGGGACTTGAACGTTTATATCTCTAATGCTGATGGTGCGATGTTTGTTCAGAACCTTGAACAAAAAGTGAAAACCACTAAAGGGGGTTATTTTTTTTATTACTGTGTTGATGAAAGTAGGCATTTGACCCGTGTCTTTTGGGCTGATGCTATTGGTAGAAGAGATTATCAATTATTTGGGGACTCTTTATCTTTTGATTCCACCTATGATACAAATAAATACTCATTGGTTTTCTGTCCTTTTACTGGTGTTGATAATCACAAGAGATGTGTTACATTTTGTGCTGCTCAAAGAAGACATAGATTCGTTTGTGTGGCTATTTCAAACTTTTTTGAAGTGTATGGGAAGAGAACCTTCTTGTATTATCACTGATCAAGATCCTGCAATGGGTATTGCCATAGAAAAGGTTTTTACCAAGACTAAACATAGGATGTGTATGTGGCACATAATGAGGAAGGTACCTGATAAGGTTGGAACTAATTTTTGTAAAGAAATTGATTTCCTGAAAAAGCTAAGTGCAGTAGTTTGGGATAGAGAGATTGATCCTCATGTATTTGTTGATGGCTGGAATAGTGTTATGGAGGAGTTTAACCTTGTTGATCATGAGTGGTTTGCATACATGTTCAAGATTAAACATCTTTGGATTCCTGCATATTTTAAGGACTTATTTATGGGTGGGTTACTGCGTTCTACATCTAGGTCTGAAGGTGAAAATAGTTTCTTTTGTAACTTTACAAACCCTCATGTGACCTGTGTTGAATTCTTTGTCCGTTATGAAACTGTGCTTGATGCTCAAAGGCATGAACAGGATGAGTTGTACAAGCTTAATAAACTTGAGCCTCAATTGGTTACTAATTTACACCTGGAAAAGCATGCTGCTGATATTTATACTCGTGCCATATTTTATGATTTTCAAGAAGAATGCCAGGGAGCCTGTTTTTCATGTGGAGTTGAAAGTTGTAGTTCTTTGTATGGAGACGGTATGGAGTTTTCTGTTATTGTTGATCATGAGAAAAGGAAAAATTTTGATGTTAATTTTGATTTGGCAACATATGAGTCAAGTTGTACTTGTAGAATGTTTGAGAGTCAAGGTGTTTTATGTAAACACATTTTGTTTGTTATGAAAGGCAAGCGTGTACGTGAAATTCCTGATGCTTACATCTTGAATCGTTGGAGAAAAGATGTTTTGAAGAAAGCTTCTGTCATAGATGATGCTTCTAAGTATGATAAGAAGAAGCAATTGGTCAGTGATGTATGGTCCAAGATTTTCAGTTGTGTCAGTTTAACTGACCAATCTGAGGATGATTTATCTGAGATTATTAAGACATTATCTTCATTTGAGGAGCACATGATATCAAAGAATAATCCTGAAAATGCACCTAGTTTAAAAGAGGTGAAAGATGCTGATATTCAGGTTTTGGTTGGGTCAAATGAAGTTGATGTAAATGTCTTGCCTCCAAATCAGTGTCTTAATAAGGGTTCTGCCAGAAGTTCAAAGAGGTTAAAGAGTACAAAAGAAATAGCTACTGAAGAAAAATATAAAAAAGGCAGAACTTGTAGAGCTTGTGGGCAATCTGGTGTTTCCCATGACAGTAGAAAATGTCCAAACAAGTAGTCTTTCAGGTATTTTACTCTTAAGTGTGTTCTATTTACTTTAAACTTCTATTTATTTACTTTAACAGTAACTTCATTTACTTTTTATTTTGTGCAGGTGTTATTATACTTGGTATTTTTTTTATTTGGTATTTTACCTCTTTACCTTTTTTATTTACTTTAGGTTTTAATTTATTTACTTTACATTTTAATTTATTTACTTTAATTTGTGACAAATAACTAATGTTTATTTTTGTGCAGTTATTTTAATACTTGAAAATTAGAAGATGTTTTGGAAGATCAAGATGAAGATTTAATGAATAAATTTTTTCTATTATTTTAATTAATGTAATACTTTTACATTTACTATAAGTAATTGTACTGCAGAACTTAAGTTTAGTTTGTTTACTTTTAGCTATTATACTTTAACTTTATGAAATATTTCATTTACTTTTATCATATTTTATATCATATGAATTATTTGATTTATATAATGTTCTTACTTACAAAATTAAATATAATTGCTTGTATTATTCCCTTTCTTTTAGAATACTTGTTACCATATCCATTTTTTGTTCTAAAATATGAAGGAATTGTGTCTTCGATAAGTGCAATTACTAGATATATCAAGGATCACTATTATGGAGATAATAAGTTCGTTCTTTTGGGTCGTCATTATTTGTTGCTAGACTATGATCAATGATCTTTAGGCTAGTCAAATAGTCCAAGCCTACTAGAATGGATCCTATGAGGTCACACAACAAGGGTATTGGGTTAAGTTAGTAAGAGGCCCATTAATGGGCCTCATGAGCAACTAACTAATCATGAAATGGATTGGGCTAGCATAGTTAGATGAGAATTAGGTTTTGGGCTTTTGACATGGGCTCTTATTTAGAGATGAGATCTATAAATAAGATCCATGCCTAGGGTTGCTTGCAAGCAGTCATAATTCACACATAGTGTATTTTGACATCAAGGCAACCAATCCCAAAGACCCTAATTCCTCTCTCTAACTCACGGCTTTCTCTCTCCTCCCCTCGTTCGTACAACCGGCCACCTTGGTGGCGCGTGTGGTGGTGCGTGGTGGTTCATGGTGGTTCGTTGCTCGCACTTCTCCATAGAAGGTCAATTGAAGGGTTCAATTGCAACTAACTAGCATTAGTGGAGGTCTTAATCTGTGCCCGTGGACCAAGTAGAGGAATCACGCTTGAGGTTCTTTATCTCCCAATGTTCTTGCTCGATCGCACGTGGAATCACGCTTCAAAGGTACGATTATATGTTCTTTATGTGTTATGCATTAGATCTTGGGATTAGGTACTGTATGAATATGATTCATGTTTTTCCGCTGCGTAGTGCCTATTATTCCCTACAGTGGTATCAGTTTGCCTATTGCATTTACGCATATTGACTATAATTCTTTGATAGTCCACAATTTTAATTCAATTAAGAGGGAGATTAATTTAATTATGGTTCAATTATTATATTTAATGTGATTAAACATTTGGAATCGATTAAATATGATTTAATTATGCTCAAAATAGCCATGAAGAGACCGAATTTTAGCCCTAATATGCTCTAAAATTTCGAACCCCCACCCTATTTTTTCCGAAAAATTCGAAACCCTAACCCTAACCCTAAATTATGAATTTTGTGTTTTGGTTTTGGTTTTGATTCAATTCGTTTACTATGTAATTAATGATTTTAATCCATTTGATTTCATGATAAATTATGAATTTTTCATGATCAAATTATTTAATTTAAGTGTTAAATTAAATTGGGGATTAATTTCATGAAGAACCCTAATTTCAAGATTGAATGTGATTTAATTTTGAAATTAATTGGACCACATTTATATTAATTTAATTTTACAAAATATGTTTTGTTTTATTTAAATAAAAAGAAGGGATTTTTAGTAGCGGCAACCGCGGCTGGGTGGCGCAGCCACGGCGGCTGCCGCTGCAGGTGGTCCGGAGGGAGGGGCGAGGTGGGGCAAAAGGACGGGTCAGCAAAGGCAGCAATAGCAGCACCGTGTAAGGGTTGCGCGGCACTGCTGCTGCTATGCACCGCTGTAGAGCAGCGTACACCTCACGGTGTACGGCCACCGAGGCCGGCTTTGGCTGGCCACACCACGGTGGCTGGTGCACGGTTTTCAAAAAAAATTATTTTATTTTAAAAATATTTCAAGATAAATATGATTTATTTTGGATAAGATAAAATATTTTGAAAATATGATCTTTAATTTTGTAAGATAAATTCGGTTTTATTTGGATAAAATCAAATATTCAAAAGTTGTTATATTTGATATTATCCATATTTAAAGCCAATTAAATTGGTAATTATCCATAATTAAAGTGGTTAATTTTGGATAAGATTTTTTAGGATATTTTGAGCATATTCCAAAAGGATAATAATTGATTTAAATCATGTGATTATCCCATAATTAATTTTGGATATAATTGATTTAAAATTTTGTGATTGGCTAGTAATTAGGATAGAATTTCCTAACATTGTTAGGATAATCTTTGAGGATAAATATGATTTATCTTTTAAGATTAAAATAAGATTTGATTCTATCTCATGACTAATTTAAAATATATGATATTTTATTGATGGTCATGAATAATATATGATATTATCTAATTGCATTAATTAAAATATGAGATATTTAGATGCCATGTTTCCTTAATTATTATCATTCGATGTTGTAGTTTAGGGAAGCATGATGAGTGATTTATTATGTGGCACTTTATAATATATGATATTATTTACTGCTATATAATGACTAGTATGGCCCAGTAGATTGCTAAATACGATCTGCGCATCGTGATGTATTTTTGTAATCTAAGTACGGTCTACGTACCGATGAAGTATTTTTGTAATTTTATTCCATTTTATTTAAGTAGTAGATAAAATAGAGTAAAATTACAGGTTGCAGTTAATCCAAGAAACCCATGAAGTGAAGGCCCAAAGGAGCAAGGTGGATGAGCTCCATGATGATTCAAGTGGGAGCATTTACTTTATTGGTTTTCTTAGGATTAGGGGGTCATGCTATGTCTTGTTTATGCATTCAGTTTATTATGCATGTTAGATTTTATTGATGTTTTGTGACGATGTGCTAGAGTTCACTATTAATCACAACATGATAAATCTAGGTCCCAGTAATATTGAGGCAGCTTTTCCAATTAAAAACCCGATGAAACCTTTGACATTAATGATGGGTCATGCCAAAGCTGGGCGTCATATTTTTCATTGGGGAGTGGGGGTAGAACAAATTCTACACTTTTAATTGGTTATACTCAACAAGGTTACCTAAAGATAAAGTTTAGAACCATGAAGCTAAAGGTAATAATTAAACATGTGATGGGTAATTATTCAACCAAGAACTACAAGAGTTGTAATCAGTAAAGAGTTTACTCACCTTGAAAATTTAATGGTTGGTGGCAGGGCCAAAGTCCAGTCAATTATTGCACGAATAAAGGATCTTGGAATCATTTAATTCAATTGGGATCAATTAACATTGAATAAATTCTTTAAAGTTACCAATTTAATTCGCTTATGGTACTTTAAATTTTAATAAACATAATTGAATTTTGCGTTTACATCAAGTAACATGTCGTTCTAATTTTATTATTATATATATATATAATCTCTCCGATTGAAAATAAAGTTGAGAAATGTTCTCAAAAGGTTAAAAGATAATCCATAAAACTATATTCCAATTTTGCTGAGATGGTTCTAAAAGGCAAGTTTTAGAAATCCATGTCACATGCCTAAGGTTGGTTTTATTCAAAATGTTTGAGTAAAATGCCAACACATCTTCATTTTGAAAAGTGTTTCAAGGAATATAATGAGATGGGAGGTACAAACCCTCTAAAAGACAAGTATAAAAGTCCAATAAAATCTCTTATCTTCAATATGATTGAATATAAGAAAGTGATTGGAAATCTCTATGATCAAAAGTTGATCAAATGACGCTATTCTTCATCCACTTTATATAAGAGTTAAATAGTTGATTAAAATCTATTATAAATAATGATTGAATAGACTTAGCAAAATCATGAAAAGTGCTTAAAGTAGTTAAGAAAAGCATCAATTTGAACCTAAGAGAAGTGTTCTAACTGGCTCAAATGGGAAAGGTTTAGGAATATATGAGGATTGCATTAAGAAGTTATGGGTCAAGAAATGCAAACAAGTTGCTACCTCTCAAACCTAGAACTACTTATATGCTAAAAGTGTTATGAACAACATATGTTTCAAATTAAATGGACCAATTCCAATTGATTAGAAACTACCTCATATAGTTGGAAGGTAAAAGAATGGAAATGTTCCAATTTAAGAAGTATATTATAGAAATTGATTTAGCACATTGATACTACTTCTTAGACATATGATGTCTTGTTTAGTTCTCTCTCATTGAGAATGAGGTTGAACTAAATGAAGAAGTATGGATAAAGGAGAAATAACTCTACAAGTTTAGAAGTAAATGTTGCTACTTCACATGTAGAATCTACAAGTTTGGAAGCAAAAGTTGCAACTTTACAAGTAGAACCTATATTTCACCTTACCTTGTTATTGGCTAGAAATAAACAAATGTTATTCATTCTTGCCATTATCAAAGCACCATTCAATGTTAGTAATGACTAAGCATCGAAGATTCAAAAATGTGGAATAAATGTTATTCTATGCTTCATTGAGTCATAATGTGTTTTGAGATTGCTAAATTGGTTCAAAGTTCTATATGATAGAAATAATTAAACCATTTCTATATATGAATTGTCTCTAAAATGTCTTAAATTCGAATGAAAATGAACATTGCATGCGGAAGATCCAAAGGGATGGACTTTTAATATCATTGGATTATGAATCCATTGATATATGTAAATATCATTCTAATTTGAAATTTTTGACAAAGTCACCATTTAGAGAAATGATGATGAGAACTCAAGGTTGAATACATATCGATGTAAGAAAACCAAAGGTTCAAAGGCTAGAGATGGACAATGAAACTTCATTTGTGATATG